CAAATGAATAAAAAATATTTGTTTTAGAGTTTATACATAAACATAAACATAACTTTTTATCATTTTTATGTTTTTTCATATATAATTTTTCTCCTAACTCACTACATCTATACGTTTTTTACAACTTAATTTACAATTTATTAAATTTTAAATAAAATAGATTGTTCTGTTTTTTTTATCATTCATCTCGGTAAAATGAAGAAAGAGGAAAAGCGTTAACAAATGGTGAGATTAAAACGACAATAAAATCGCGAAAAGTGTACACGAAACGCATTCACGAAGCATTGAGCTTTCAAACAGATATTTATTTGTTCAGAAACTTTTATGCATTGTGAAAGTGTAAAAATGCGAACATTTTACGTTTTATTTTCGATAAAATTTCAATGTCACATGCTATTATCATACATGTGCATTCTCTTTCTGTATTGGGGTGTGGGTGGATGGGTGGGTGCGGTTGTGGATGAAGAGAAGAGCAAGACTCACACCCACACCCACGCCCACACTCACATCCACATCCACATCCACATCCATATCCACATCCACATCCACATCCACATCCACATCCACATCCACATCCACACCCACACCCACACCCACACCCACGCCCACACCCAAACCCACATCCACACCCTCAAGATAGTCCATCGGATAGGGCTCGTCGAGTTCTATGTACTGGTGACATTTTCAGCTTTTGGTCCCAACTGGGAGCGAATCCAGGTGGGCTTTTCTGTTTAAAACCAGGTTTTCGCGGTATATCAGGATTTTAGGTGGAAAGAAAAGTGACTAAATTACCTAAAAGGTGTCCATTTGATAGAGCTGCTCGAGTTCTATATATCTGTATAGTTTTCAGCTTTCGGCCCCATTGTGGGTGAGGGTGTGGGGCTAGCTCTCCACTTAAGCCATACACACACCCACACCCACACCCACCCAGGGATATTCTAGAACAGAACTATTTGTACACAAATTTATTCATATCAGGAAACGTGCATCATCCAAAAGAGCTCATCGAGTGATATCAAATCAACTGTGTCCCATTAGTAACTCGAGTAGTAGAGTGAATCGTTAGAGCAAATATTCTTTGAGAACCTGATATTATTGTATTGGCACATAAGTTCTAAACGTTTGGATCAGTAGAATTATATCGCCAATATAAAACTACATTTTAAGGCAAGTAATTATATATTCTGATAGCGCTTGGAATTCTCTATCACCCTGTGTATTTAAGTCTTGACTTGCATTTATTTGCTGAAAAATATTTTGAATACAGTGAAGACTTCCTCACCCGCATTGACAATGTTCGAAATATTTCTCAGCAAATAAGTTCAAGTCAAGACCTGAACATACAGGGCGATAGAGCATTTCAAGAGCTCTTAGAATATATTATTACTTTTCTTAAAAAACGGATTACTGTATACATAAAAATTTTAAAAACGCATGAGAAAGAAACAAAAAATGCAGTTCGCGGTAATCTGAGGGTGAGGGTGTCTTCACTGTATTCAAAATATTTTTCAGCAAATAAATGCAAGTCAAGACTTAAATACACAGGATGATAGAGAATTCCAAGCGCCATCAGAATATATAATTACTTGCCTTAAAATGTAGTTTTATATTGGCGATATAATTCTACTGATCCAAACGCTCAGAACTTATGTGCCAATACAATAGGTACCTTATAGATACTACCAATAATAGCTGAACTTTTAATCGAAATAAACATATACTATTCAATAGATTTTGTCGAGGTAAATTGGATTTAATATACTTTGTTGGTAGCTCAAGTGCTACCATAGATCTTCAGATGCAATACTTTTTGGAAACTTGGTAGTAAGTATTTCACGGTTCCTGCCTTACAAAAGTTTGATTTCAATCAAATAAAACATAAACCATTCGAAAGAGATTGTCGAGCTACTTCTAGCTCATTCTACGTTTTTGTTAATTCAGTGAATGATGGGAGTCATTGTTGACCAAATCGAATCGGCTGCTAACTTTCCTTATTATAAAAACTTTGTTTTTTAATTCATATTTCGCAAATTTTGATTAATCAATACCTTTTCCAAAGATCAAGTAAACTTAATTTTGAGTTTTGTTATTGCACTCTTTGATTGGTATTAAATTAAATGAAAGGGTGATCGTTCATTCAAATTAAAAGGGAACAACACTTTTTTTGAAATGCAATGCGTAATTGATTTTGAATACTAAGCATCATAGCTTCATTCAGTGAAACTCCGATTGAAAATTTCAGTTATTCTGTCAGAGTAGAGTACCAATTCAAATAAAAATCATAATGATTTTTTACTGCACAGATTAAGTTAACGCCGATTGTTTCAAAGAAATAGTGCTCGATATCAAAAAAAGTTATTTGAAGTATAGTAAAAATCGTACAAAGCCTCGAACAATGGTGATTCAATGATTAATCTAATATTTTCAACTGTATTCATATACTGTTACGAACAAATAGTAGTAGTTAATTGCTATTCAAACCCATTCTAAAAAATGTTCATATTCTCATGTATGCATACATATTCCTCACATTAGGAAGGATTCTTTCATCAAATCAATAGGTATATATTTGATATTAAGATACTACAATGCATATGTGTTAGCCGAGTCATCGAGAATTTCTTGAACTTGATAAATAGATAATGATGCTAGAAAGACAGAGTCTATGCAGTACATCATAAAGCATTGAGTGTAAGATCTTATACGATCTGTGTATGACTTCTTTGCCTGGCAAGAGAAAATATCATTGTACATCTCAAGATGAATTAGATGTTGACTTAAGAAGTCGTGATCCTATTATCAAATTGTAAAGTCTAGTTCATAATCAGGTGAGTTCTTCTGTATTCAAACCAATGGTTTCATATGCACAGTAAACTGGTGGCTACACTCCGAAGCAATATCAGAATTACTCGAGCACTCTAGAAGTTTGCTTTTCTTTCTTTGCGGATAATTGATGAAATAATAATTGTAAGGAGAGTACATTTATTTTTTGTAGTCATGGTCAATGAATACTGTGTTTCGAACACTTTTTCGTTTGTGTATCATTTTCATTTATTTTGTTCTTGATATATTTTTCGAATAAAACGAATGAAACGATAAATAATAGGTAGTCTATGTAACTCGAAATATAAAAATCATAGAATTTAAACTTCGAAATGTAGAAAATAGTTTTCTTATAAAATTTCCATTCATCAAAGTGTATCACAGAAATAATGTTCCCCCCGCACAAAAATAACATTGAAAATATACAATGTAATGCTTTTTTGAATAGTTTTCAACGTAATTTGTGAGAATGATTGGCCTAAAGTGCTGAAACTAATTTTTAAATTTACTTTTCTCCTAGAATGTTATGCTTTAAATTCTGATATTTCCAGTATTATCCTGTATTAACACAGCCTACCAATCTTCTCATTTGAAGGTCTATGGACAAAAACGAAACATACCACGAGTATCAGCTGGTCAAGCTCTTCAGACTGGTATGTGTCCCATTCAGAACTGAGGCTCACACGTGCGAACCTTCCCCCAACAGTTAAATCTGATAGTGAGTGTTAAGTGATGAACATTAAATTCATTTCAATTGATATTTATTAGAACAAACTTGTTCACAACTGATTAACATGATTGCTATAAATAGAATTTATATTGAAGAAGATTCTACTTAGGGCATACAAAAAGTTCGTGCAGTGATACTTTAATACCTTATGATAAGCTTTAAGTAACTTTCTTTCTATATAGTCTGATAGAGGAAAAAAAGCTCTATCTTTCTATGCTGTTGGATCGTACTTCAAGTAATATGATGATAATAAATTTTCGATAAGACTTTTTTCATTAGTATTTGTGCTCGTTGTAAGTTTTGCGTTGCAGTTTTCAATTCCTTATTAGTTGTATTAATAACCAAAATATACTATAAGATGCAGCGTGAAAAGCTCTACAATTTACGTACGGCCACTTATTTTAGAGTTGCACTTTTTGTTTTCGAAATCGACAAAATTTTGAGCAATCAAATAGTGACCATGCGAAAAAGATAATGTGTTCGATAGACAACGAATTCATTTTTGTTATTTCATTGTTTCATCACCTAATATGCTTTATCAAAAGGAAAACAAAATATACCACAAGATGCAGCGTGAAAAGCTCTACAATCTATACAGTAAAGCTTATTGTAATTGTTTTCAGAAAAAGGAAAATTCTATGCGACCAATTTTCTCAATGCCCAAAATTTGATCCCTGAAAACTTTATCGATTTTGAAAACAAAAAAGTGCAGCTATAAAACAAGTGGCTGTACGTAAATTGTAGAGCTTTTCACGTTGCATCTTATGGTACATTTTGGTTGTTCATACAATGTATTAAGGGATTGAAAACTAGTCTGTTCTCACACGCTGTGATCTAGTACAACCAGCACACAACCAGCCGAAATAGGTTTTATAGATAATTTAATATTATTGTATTAGTTGAAGTACGATCAAATAGCATAGAAAGATAGAGCTTTTTTTCTCTATCAGACTATATAGAAAGAAAGTTACTTAAAGCTTATCATAAGGTATTAAAGTATCATTGCACGAACTTTTGGTATGCCCCAAGTATATTTGAACTTTGATATTTTATTAAGTTAAAATATCATAAACAGCTGCCATCTTGCAAGAGAACTATTTTTCAATAGACATGCGACAGCTCAGGATCTCGAAACATAGTCGAACTGATTTGTGTGGAACCGGTAGATATATAAGCAATTGACTTTGGTCAGAAAGAAAACCAAACAAGAGAATTTATTCGAAATATTTATTTATGATAATGTAAGTTTTCTTTATTTATGCTGTCTAACTACATGAAAAACTGAAGTTAAGAAGCGGCGGAAATACTATGGTTATTAATGATTGAAATCATGTTACTAAAAAAAACAGACTAAGTCTAGAGTTGAAGATAAAAATAAAAAGAAGTTTGAAGTGTTTTTTACGGTCGAAAAATGTCTCGACAATTATGATGATTTTTTAATAATGTTTCAGCCCAAATATCTGTTGCATTGCCCTGTTGTTGGTGTGCATTTTCTTGAACAGGTTGAGCCTACTAAATTAATTCTTGATGGACATACGCCATTATTCGCATAGGTAAATGAATATCTTTGCAATAATTGTTCATAAATGCCTTCCTCAATAAGATAATTTATGGCATTTACTAAGGCACAGCATAATTCTGGATTCATTTTGTTGCATAAAATACCGTAAGGTTGCACGTTATAAGGTGTTCCAACAACTTTGAGTGTATTATTTGATTCAAGAGCGGCGATTATCAGTGCTGCTTCATCGGAAACAGCTACATCAGCCGCACCGGTGGAAACTGCATTTATCGCAATGGCTAATGTCGCAAATTGTTTTATGTTGATGATATTAGCACCACACATTGTGTTTTGTGTTGTTACATCCTGATATTGTGTCGTTGCACTTACTACTGATACGGTTTTACCACACAGACTACCGAGTCCAGTAATCGTTTGTCCATATGATGACCGAACGATAAAAGCAGTGCCAGTTTTAAAGAACTGAGCAAAATCGACGGATTTCATACGCTCTAGCGTAATTGTTTGAGAACTAATTGAAATAGTGTTGACATTGCTTTGAACTGTCGTAATCAATGATGCAAAAGGCACATACTGATATTGAAATTTTATTTGATATAAATAACTGATTAAATTCATTAGATCAATATCGAATCCATAAGGTACACCATAGCTACTGCGAGTAACGAAGGGTGCTGCATTGGCTGATGTGGCAACAGTGATTGTTGCCGAGCGTAAACGACGAGGTAAATCACGTAAAAGACTGTCGTCTGTACATTGAAAATAAGATGAGACTGATGCTACGAGTAGAAGTACAAGGAGAGCAAACTGCATATTGTTGCTAGTATAATAAATGTCTTCAATAATAATATGATATGCGATTTCTACTGCAGTTCTTGTCTAATCTGAAAACATACAGTATTAAAGAATGCTGGATTCCAAATAAAGAACTGAAACTAATCAAAACATAACAAAAAAACTGCTAGAGAAAGAAATGATATAAATAATGTGTATATGATCCGTTCATTATTTCAAGTTATGAGTCTCTATCTAAACTGTAATATTTTTTGCGCTTGTTTTAAGTTCCAACTGCATGAAAAGTGTTAAACCATAAGAACTGATAGACTTTAATTATTATTTCTCCATCGAAAAATGCCTAGTCTTACGGAATAGTTAATTTACCAGTATCACAACAGCTGATGACTTAGTATGAAGAGAAGCAAAAAGCTTTGAAACCATTTTTTGATATATAGTTCAGCAAAAAACCAAATGCATTCCTACTTGTCTTACCTATTTTCAAGAATAAATTGTGGCCTTACTCCGTCGAATTATGAATAACTCACATACCTTGATGAGCATTCGTTTGCTGCATTTTTCTCTTTCATTTACTGTACGGGTTTTCAACATTTTCATCACTGCTACATGTACTTCTACTCTCGCATGTGATATTTATACATAACTCTATGAATTTTCGTTATTTTTGAATGGATATTTTGTGAAACGCATTCACCGTTACATTTTCTATAGACCTCCTACAGGAATCTTCACCTCAAATATAAGAGCAGAAAATTACTAAAATAACACTACAAAAGTCTATCAATTATGAATGTTAAATAGTTTCATTGATGCGGACTTGTGTTGATTGGTAATACTGAAGCAGACGCAAACACTCCTATGCAAAACATTTATTTTTGAAAGAATCCTTTCTTCTATTACACTCTTTTTCTCATAATTTCTACATTAACTATTCAAATGGGAGCTACTTCTAAGGGTGGAAAGTTACCGTTCCCAGACCGTTACCCGGGAACGGTAACGGCCAGTCACCAGTTACCAGACAACAGGGGTAACGGTCAGGCCAATTCTCACCGTCATCAATCCCGAAGTCTCGGTCCTCCAGAACTACCATTTGTGGAGGGGATACCTTTTTATCTGCAAATCATACTATTGACGGCTACCCTTCAGTTCTCAGCTCCTACTATTGTGGGATACCATCGAGCCCTAAAGTGCTAGTGTCGGGAAACAACCTTGAGCCATCAAGTACTAGTATTCTAGGGTACCCTTGGCCCAACCACTGCAAATGATGCGCAGAACGCTTGGCCCAACATGTGCTAGTACCTCCCAATAGTAGAACTTGAGGACCTAATGGTACCCCCGAATAATATGACTTCAGGACCCAAGGGTATCCTCCAATAGAAGTACTTGAGGAGCCACGGTTCCCCCTCGCCCCAACAATAGTAGGACTTGAGGACTCAAGGGTATCCCCCAATAGTAGGGCTTGAGGGCCAGCGGGTGGAGTTGATGGCTACACACATTCGCCTCACCGTTCCCCCGTTTCCGGGTAACTGGTAACGGACCGTTACCGTTTTCTGGAAACGGTAGCTTCCAACCCATAGCTACTTCAGAATGTATGTAGTCCTGTACACTATCATCTATTGATGTTTACAAAAATTAAATTTTATTCCAGAAAAAAAACTATCACGACAACTTCCATAGATCTTCCAAAAAACAGGAAGAAAATATTAAAAAGCAAGGGTATTTTTTAAAACTCATACAAAAACAAATCTACTTAACCCTATAAACTTTTTACTGAAAAGTTTTTATGCATAATGAAATGATTCACCTTTCAAGGTTCAACACATATTTGTTCAATTTGCTTCTATGGTATAATATTAGAGCAAAAAAATATAAAATAGTTCAATTAATGTATAAAATTGTTGACATTTCATGTTCGTTGCATTCCTGTTTATAACCATTGTTCATCTAAGATTTTCAAAAGAATTAAATGCTAAGTTTATTAAGAAAGTTTTGTTCGACACTATTGAAATTCATAAAAGTATCCATCATCAATCTAGACAATTATTTATGTTGGAGCACCGTTAAATTCTAATACTAAAAGTGTGTTATGAAATCAGAGAAAAATTTTAGAGATTAAGATATTTCAACGAAACCGTTCCATTTTTTTCCTGAATCATCTATTGTGAGATATATTTTCATCATACTGTTTCAAATAAAAAACATCAAATGATCCTATAATATTATTGCTTCATTGTAACTAAAATATTTTCTCGAGAATCCTAACCCAAGAAGCGTTTAAGGAAGAATGTTTTTCTCCCAATATATACTAACTCGAATTTTATAAAAATTATAAAAATAGCCAGTAGGAAGCGACAAACCTCATTGCAGAGGATCTCTTCCATGAAAATTTGCTGAAGTACTTGTTTTATTTACAGCATCCTATTTAATGTTCAGCGAAGTTTAAGCCTTGTGAATGAGCAGGAAAAATGACAAACTTGAATGCTTTTTTTTGCGCTACAGCGAAATTTATAAAACTTATTGAGAATTCTTACTTTGCAAGCTTTGTCAGGAGCAGAACTTTACTCTAGCCAATATCTTCTATTGATATGAAAAAGAACTTCGGAGTATTTTCGCTGCTACACTGTAAAAAAAAAGGTATTTTACCGAACCCTTCAAAAAGGTTTCGTAGGTGTCTAAAAGCTTCCAAATGCGTCCAAATGCTTAAAAAAATGGTTGTTAAAATCTACGAAACCTTAAAAGGATCGGGCCGCGAGCACACCGTCCGAACCACCTCCTACGAAACCTATTTAAGTTCCGTAAAGCGAAACAAAGGTTTCTTAANGCCATTTCGTGACGGATCCTTCTCATCTTCGAACTTGACCGAGACATTGTTAAGACTGAACTGTGTAGAAAATTTCATCATGATCTGACTCTCCTTTCGAAAGTTATCGTGTAAACGGCCGGCCGGACGGACGGACATACTGACCGATTCTAGAGTGTACTCACTTTTTGAGTACACTAAAAAGCACAAAACTAGATTATCTATCTTAAGTTTAAACGTATGATCTTTTTTAGGTATGCACTTCAAGTACTGAGTGAAGAAGAAGTATGTGTAAATGAACCATTTCGACCACTTGGTTTATTCTATTCAAAAGCTCATCAACTACAAAAATTAAAATATATACCTGTTATTGTAAGGATATCTTTTCTTGTTTCTTTCTTGAAATACTTTTTTCATTTGTTTCTTTTTTGCTTTTCAGATCTATCCAAATGATTCTTTACATCAAGTAAAAACAACCAAAGAGGTATTTGAATGGATTGTGCAACGTGCACAAACAACAGAATTATTGTTAAATGAAAACTTATCATAAATCATGATTAGAAAATTTCAATCTTGTTTTTAGAAAATAAGGAAAAACAAATTAAATTTTTCTTTTTAAGTTTTAGATAAAAAAAAACTAAAAAAATGAATAAATAATGTCATCTAAAAGTGAATTAACAAAAACAATCGAATCTCAGCAATTACGAATAACACGTCTCGAACAACGTTTTGCTGGTTAGACTATTATCATTTATATATTTTTTTTTTATTAATTTCTTATTAACAGATGTTGTTACTGCTTATAAAAATTTACAAAAAGAAAAAGAAGCACTTGAATCTACTGTTCGAGTATTATCATCTCCAGCATCATCCACTATATCGAGTAGAGAATCAACAGTTGGAGAAAATGAAACAAATTTAAGCACAAAAGAGGTATGATAATAGTTGTTTATTTTGAAAACTTAACTATTTTATAAATGAAGGACAATGGATCCGGTAGTGAAGTAGACAATACTCATACACAATCTGAACAACAGATATTTAAAGAAAAACTTCAAACATTACAACAAAATGTTACTATTATCACAGAACAAAAACAACGTATGGAACAAATGTTTCAATCAGACAAACGCAAACTTAAAGTTTGATTATTCAATCAATTATAAATATAAATATATTCACTTGTATATTTTAGATCGAAAATGAAGAATTAAAAAAATTACTCGAAGAAGCCAAAGCAGAAAATATAATTATTAAAGAAAAATCTGACAACGAAATTAAAGAGGTTATTACAATAGACTTTTAAATTCATATCTTAATATTCTGAAAAAAAAAATATTTCAAATCGTTCGACACATGATTTTTACAGGGGCTATTGTGTGATTTTTGGTATCATACCAATCGTTCATAGCTATTGAAGTCGGGTTTTCACCATTAGATAGAGTAACAGTATTTCTATAAACTTTTCATAGCAACTTAGGGTAAAGATGAAAAAAAAATCAAACAATTATATAAGGATACAACATACTTCGAACCATATTTTGTAAATTAAAACTAACTGAATTCAATCAATAAGTGACATAAGCACTTTATATTTAATTTATGAAAAATAATAATCGTATATTTCTCGAGAACACCTCATTTGTCTTTCATGTCTAATGTTTTTCTTGCTTAATTTCAGTTGAAAAAATCATTACGTCAATCTCAACGTGACCATGAACGTGAAACAGCTGATCATGGTGTTATGCTACGTGAATTACAAACACTTCTCTCCACAGAACGTAATAAATCTGAAACAATGGAACATCAAGTAAATTGTTTATTGAATTAAAAAAAAAAACAATACAAATAAATTTTTTGTTTTTTTTTAATTTAATGATATTTAGTTAGACGAAAGTCGAGCAAAAGTAGTTACACTTGAAAGTCAATTTGATACATTAAAAAAACAATATAATAATCTAAATAATCAACATCAAACAAAATTAAATGAATTAAAAGGAAAAGATTCGTAAGTTTGAAAGTAAAATTTTCTGTCAATATTCATCTATTTCTATTTTCAAAAGAATTGATTTCGAAGAATTGAAACGATCAAAAGAAAATATTGTTCAATTAACATCAAAAATAAAAGATATGGAAGTAAGTTAAAGATATTTTCTCTTCTGAAGAAGTAATTTAATACTCTGGGAAGGCGAACATCTATTTTTGGAAGCAAAAACACATAGTATGTGGTACACAATTACTTTAAATTTCTGAAGGATCAAATAGATTATCAGAGGGATGCCACATTGGACACTGACCTTGTTCGTTCTTTAGATCAAGCATGTTGAACAATTACGAGTTGAATCAAAACGAAATCAACAATTAGAAAAAAAACTAGCTGATATTATCAGTGAAAATGGTCAGAAAATGTCAACAAATGAAACACATATTGCTGAATTATCTGAACAAATTGGTCTTATTGAAAAACAACGGTAAATTTTCTATTTTTTTTTTTCAAAAACAATAAAAACATTTTTCAGTGCACAAGATCAAATGATGATTCAACGACTAAAAGAACGAATAGCTCAACTTGATGTTGAAAATGCTCTATTAACAAAAGCTTCATCAACATCTATTGAACGTGATGATATTAATATAACAAATGATGATGATCATAATCATCATGATCTAGATACATTAATGCAACGTATAGCTAAATTAAAAGTTTTAATACGTGTTGCAAATGATCGTTTTGGTAAATCTTTAACAATTGAAGGTAGAAATGAATCGAAATTTTTTTAAAATAAATTTCTTTTTTTTTTTTGTTCAATAGATATTCTTAATATTGATCGTGAAATGTCATCTGGAACAACAAATATTAATGGTATAAGTTTATCACCAGAAAATAATAAAATATTACATAGTAAATGTTATGAAGAAATTGATAGACTTAAAAATGAATTAGAAAAATATCGAAATAAAACTGTTGCTGTATTTAAAGCAAAAAATATTAAGGTATTATATACAATAAGAATTTGTTTTTTTGGTTAAATTTTTTTCTGTAATCAATAAACAAGATGACGGTATAGAAAACATGAATTACCATCTATGTTATTTCCTTTCATATATGATTGGTGAAATATATGTTAGGTTTTCTCTGATTGTAACTAAAATTTTGGAAACATCAGTTTGTTCTTCATAGATACATAAATACGAGTATAATTTATAGTCGTAAGTCCTGATATATAAGACTATATACTGAAATATATTCGAGTACATGTACTATATGTACTTCCAGTTTTGAGACAGCTGACACTGTCGTGTACTCAGCTAATTGTCAATGATTCCAATACATCATAAGGATATATTGTCCCGTACCGAAAGGTTTTCTAAACAATCTCGAATATCTTATGATATGGGACAAACGGAATTTTGGACTGTAGTAAGCAAAATAGTATCGATCGAGTTTTTCTCGAAATTTTATGGAAGTATGTCCTATAAAAAATGATTGTTTGAATATTTCACTTACAATTGCGTTTGGAACTATTCTCGAAATTTCTGAGAATGATGAAATCTAACCATCACGTACCGGACAGACTGTGAAATATCTAGGATCGGTAGTCCTGTGTGACATAAATAAGTTTCTGTTTGAGAATATTGCAGGTTTAAGCATAAAGAGAACATTTATCACAATCGACTATTGTTACACTTCATATTTTATTTAGATCTTATATATCTATAAAAAAAGGTGTCCCATAAGTTCGGTACTTTAACAAAAATTAGTTTATATGTAAACAAATTTTGATCTCTATCTAACTGTATCGACGTTATTCTTTTTTTTTTAACATTGAATTTTATTGTGCCATATAAGGATTCACAAGTTACACACAGAATAGTAGATAAAAGGAGAAGAAAGATAACATTTGTTACAAGAAAAATTGATGCGACACTACACAAATATATTAGAATACCGTTCAAATCTGTCGTCTGAATTTAATTGTGGGGCCTATTGCCTGAGGATAAAGCGCAGAAAGAAGCAGAAGAACATAAATAGAAAACATAATTAGAGATAATGTATAATATAAAATAAAGGAAAAAGAAAAGTATTTGTATAATATGTTGAAAGTTTGTAATACTCATGTTGTTTTTTTTTTTTTTCATAATTCTATATCACTATTATCAAAAGAGATGATGTCATTTAAAACATTATCCTAAGTATTCGAAGCTCATAT